CCAATTCAGGTCCCAGTCCGCTAGGCGCACCACACTCCCCAGGCTCAGTGAAGCCTTCCTATTCCCCCGCCGATACCAGGGCGCAAAGTCTCTGAGCCAGAGGTTATCGCACCTTCTACAGACTCGAGCGGACCGCGGCACATGAGGTCGTCTCCCCCCAGCCCCATGTCCGCAGACCCACAGTTTGTTCCCAGAAGCGCGCGTCAGGCTGGCTCCGGATCGGCCGAAGGCTCAATCGTAGGTGCACCGCCTCTAGTACCTCGGAAGTAGAGCATTACCTACTTTCGGTTGTTTTTGAGCGCGCTAGGGAATTCCTTGTTTCTGGCCTAGTCTTAGAAACTTGCAGTAAATTATACGTTTGGGGGGGGGGGGGGGGGATGGGGAGAGTGATGTGGAGGGGGTGGGGATGGGGGGGAGAGAGAAGGCTAGGAGGGAGGGGTGTATTGGCAGGTGGAATACCTTCTCTGGGGTGGTGGTGGATAAGAAGGATAAGGAGCGTTGGGGGCATCAGGAGAGGGGGAGATGGAGGGGGTTGGTGCTCACGTAAAGAGGGGAGGGGAGGGTATGATGTTATGACCTGGGGGAACTATATACATTGTGGCTGAAGGGGTACTGTAATATTGTAATTATCTGGATAGTATACTAATGACGACGGCATGAATCTGGAGGTTATCACTGAGCCATCCAAAGTACAGCCCCTTGAATTCGAGATTGAGGGTTAGGGTCAAATATGTTATTCTCGGCCGCCGGCTTTATCGGGAAATTCGCGGCGTGGACGGACCGAGATCGACGTCATTTTCTTTGCTTGCCTCTTTACCTAAGCTTTCTATTTTCCTTCTCCAACACCATTGACTGCCCCGTCTGAACTTTATAGCCACGTGGTGACCGTTTTTACTGGCAACGAGAAACGCTGCAGTTTCCGAACGATTCAAGTGCTCCCATTTAGAACACCCCTGCTTTCTTCCGTACGATCACAAAATGAGACCATCACTCTTCTCTGGCTCTGGCGGCCGCGCTGCCACTTACCTCTGCGCAGCCTGTCGTCGAGAGGCGAGAGCCACGCTATCAACACGGAACGTAGCAGCACCGACAGCTGCGCATCGAACCCTCCAAACTGCGGCGATACCACCCGCCCAGAGGACAACCGGCCAGCGCTGGCCCACCCCGACACCACAAGCCCGCTACACCTCAACCTCGGCCTCTTCAAAACCCGCAGAAACCCCCTCCTCACCCTCCAACCCGTCCCCCATCCCAACCTACTACGCCCTCTTCCCCGAAACCCTGCCCGACGGCCCGCCGCCCACCGGCAAATTCCCCATCGACCTCCGCGCCCTGCGCAACGAATTCCTCCGCCTGCAAGCCGCCTCCCACCCCGACTTCCATCACTCCGCCTCCCAAACCTCCCCCACCCCACCAACCCAGGGCAACAACAACAACAACAACACCAACACCAAATCCGCCGCCCGCCTCCACGCCGAAGCCACCTCCGCGCAGATCAACGCCGCCTACAAAACCCTCTCCTCCCCGCTCCTCCGCGCGCAGTACCTTCCTCCGCGAGCAGCACGGGGTCGATCTCGAGGGAGACGAGGCGGGCGCGCAGGCGGCGCCGGACGCGGAGCTGCTGATGACGGTGCTGGAGGCGCGCGAGGTGATTGAGGAGGCCGCGTGCGAGGCTGATCTGGAGGAGGTGCGGGTGGCGAATGAGGCGCGGAATCGAATACGAGTGTGAGGCTAGGTTGGGGGCAGGCGTTGGAAAGGGGGGGATGTGCAGGGGGCGAAGGAAGGAGGCGGTTAGGTTGAAGGTATTGGGTTAATATTAGGGAGGGGGTCAGGGTGGTGGGAGAGGGGGGAAGCCGGTTGGTTTTGCAGCATTGAGCTTTGGGCTCTAGTAGGGTGGGAGGGGAGATGGTGTGGTGGAGTAGTGGAGGTTTGGTTGGGTTGGTGTTCGGATCCCGGGGGAAGGAGGAGAGATGGATGGATTGAACACTGTTTTTCGCTGTGATGGACCGTTATCCTAGTTGGCTGGCAATGTGTTAGTGTATCGGAGAGGAAATACCCAACTCGAACAATGTATTATTCAGCCGTGCGTCACCTAGCCCGTGTTGTTGGCCCCCATGTCAAACCAAGGAAATACATTGCTGTGGCCGCGTTGGAAAGACAGAGCATGGCATGAATGGAAGATGGAAAGAGAAGTCGAGCATAGTGCCAGGATAACTGCCCGCTTAAGTGGCTCGCTCACAATATCGTACGATTCTTGCGTTGGCGCATATGGGCCCCGCAGGATTCCCACAACCACATGCCCAGTATCAGTCCTGAGCTTTTGGTAAATCTCGGTTTATATATGTTCCAACTCGATTGTTTAGAGATTGTAGGGCTAGCCTCTTAGATTGTAAATTGCCTACCGCTGGTAGATCCGGATACCGGTAGTCGAATACCCGACGGCTACAGCCGCTCGGTTCCAAGCACCACATTAAGTTTTAAAAAGGGTATATATTTCTAGGAACGCGTAGGTAACCCGGGGCATCTATCGAAAGCCCGGTGGGGGTAGATAACAACAACAAAAAGTAGTCGAGAAAAAGGCAGGCAGCGTGGTCAAAAAAAATAGCAAAAGCTCACCGGCCAGCCCCCCTCTCATTGGATACCAGTTAGGTGCGATAAGTCAGCTGCCTGGGAGAGGAAGGGTGTTCCGGTTACGAAATCCCTAATTAAGGATCTGCTCCGAAACCCCGGGGCTCAAACCTACAACCTTCCTAGTAAGGAAGAGGCGAACTACTACCCGGGGTTTAGAGGACCACCGCCACTAACCACTGGGCCACCTGTTAGGTGGCTGGTGGTCCTCGTTGTAAATCAGGTACACAGACCTAATATATATAGTGCCAACTACCTCGGGATGTGTGAGAGGGTTGAACAGCATTTACTTAGGGTCAAAAGCCCGGGCCAAAGAACTTTAAGAGAATGAACCTGGTAGTAAACGACTTCCACCCCAAAAAGAGAATCATGTATCTTACGGAAGACAACCACCAATACAATAAATAAGTATATAGTGACATCCCAACCAGGTGCTTGCCCACCAGTCTAAAGCCAACTCCAACCCCAAGCTTATGAAGCTAGGGCCCTTCCCATCACCATCCCATACCATGTAGACCCCTTCCCCCCTTTTCCCCAACCTGTAGGCAGTACTCGATCAACAATACTTACTTCCACTAACCCCCCTTCCACCCCAGCCCAACTCCCGCATTACAGACTACTCTTTAAAAGCCCGTCCACACAATGCAGCGATAGCAGCCGTAGAATTGGCCGTCCCATTCCTCCCATCCAATCCTAGAAAAGTCCCATTCCCACCACCCCACCCTCCGGGTACAGCCATCTGCACCGGCACCACGCCCCCAAACGGTCCCGTCTCGTTCGCGTTCGCAATCTTGACCAGACACACCCCCGTCATGCTGGCCACCACCCCAGTACACGTCAAATTCTCAGGCACGGCAAACACGAACTCAAACCCCTGATTGACCCGCTCCGGCACACCCCTCCGCCACAGCCTCACCGCCCGCCCCAGCTCCGTCCCCAGTACAGTATCCACCAGGCGCGCCCACGCCGACGACCGCCTTCTCGACACCTTCGACGGCAGCAGCAGCGCCGGCTTACGCGACGAGACAAACTCCCCCGTGTCCGCGCCCGCCGCCGTCTCCGCCTCCTGATCATCATCATCCTCCCCACCACCCCCACCACCACCACCAGGAATCTGCCTCACCACCTCCAGCCGCACCCCCTCCGAGAACCTGCCCGTGGCTGACGGATCCAGCACGGCGTGGAGGGGCCCCGCGCCGGCGGTGGTGACGACGAAGAAGGTGCCAGACAGGTTGCCGCCGGGGGTGAGTTGCGGGAGGACGGTGCCCGACAGGCGCATGGCGTGGACGATCATGGCGATGGTGTTGGGGCCCGAGGCGGCGGTGCGGCCGAGGCCGTCGCTGAGAAGGGCGCGGTCGGGGAAGATGGTAGTGTCAGATTCAGAGGCGGTAGCGTCGTTGTTGTCGTTAGTGGGGGGGATGCTAGTTGGGTAGGCGGGGGGTTTGTGGGGTTGGTAGGGGGAGGGGGCCGGGAGGCGGACCCGGAGGTTGGGCGCGGCGGCGGGGATGATCCCGCCCAGGATGCCAAGGGCTGTGCCGTTGCCGCCGGCGTCGCCGGTTACGACGGTGACTTTGCCGTGGGCGAAAACGAAGGTCACGAGTGTGAGGGCGAGGATGAGGATGTTGTAGAGCATATTGGCGGATGAGATTGTGGAAGTAATGACTGCACGAAAAGGACTGACGGGCCAGCGTCAAGAAAGGAAAAGGAGGAACGAATCAATCGTTTTCCGGTAAAAGAGACCACGGAAGGAAATGTGAGTTGGTGTTGGAGAACGAGCTTGCAATGGCGGTGGAATTTACATCCCATTTATACAATGAGGCACCCATCTTGCACCGCGAGACCACGCCGTCGCCGTTCACGATGTGCCTCCAACACGGTATATTTCCCCTGGGGAGGTATAGTTGAGACTGTGCTCTTCGCAGGAGTCCAAACACTAGCGGTGTCGCGGCCAGCTCTCGAGAGACGCGCTGGCGAACTCGATGGTGAGCTGTAAGTCTAGCGTGTGGTGTTGGCCAAGGCTCCCGACAGGCCGGGACCAATTGGACCAGAGAAGAAGGGGTCAACGGTGAGGCGTTGCCTCTCAGCGGCAGCAGAGTGGTCCCTGGGGCGCCGGCCTTTTTTGCGGCCCCTAGCCCTCGAAGAGGGTTGCCGTGAGCTAAAAAGAGCGCAAATGAGAAGCGTTCTGGAACAGGATGCCGCAGAACTCGGGATCATGGGCAAGCGGAAGGGCCATTGGCAGGAGAGGACTGATAAACAAACCACTGGTTCCTAATCCAAGTTCAGCAAGAGCATTAAGCACATCACGCCGCGGAAACTTAGGGTTGTCGTGAAGCAGACCAAGGAGCCAGGAAACGATCAAAGGTTGCGAGGCGGGTAACCCAACAGGAGTCGTCGACACCAAAATATCGACACTAAAGCAGAGGGAACCCGTGCTTGTTGTTTTCGCAAAAGTTCGCAACTGGTCAAAACCAACAAGCAGGAAGCGCTCATGCGCGCGCTTAGGTAGAGTACTGCATGCGGAAGCCGACGAGTGGAAGCCACGTGTATCAAGTAGTCGGGGCGGATGAATTACAAACAAGTCCACTTTCTTTTGTCCACTTTCTTTTGTCTCATCGAGAGAGCACCGAAAACAGTGTGAGGTTGTAAGCGCCGCAGCGATGCCATGGTGATTGATGTAAGCAACTTGGAGAGGTCCGTTCTCGTTCTTGGTACACACAAGGTACCGACGAGACCGGGAGTGGATGGAAGCTTCACCCACTCAACGGTCTTGGCGAGCTAGGCTCCCCCACAACCCCGCCATACCCCACCGATAGTGCAGCTTCTAACACAGCGAACCCCATCTCCAACTCAGCCTTACACAGCTCCCGTAGGCCTACCAGACCGACCATTTCGTGCTTCTTGTCACCCGCTTCTCACAACCGATTCTGGAGCAACACGAAAACTTAGCTTCTGAATCCAGGCGGTGACACGTCCCTGGCCGCCACAAGATCGCGATGGCGTCGCCTCAGGTAGCGGCAGCGCTGGAGGAAGCTGGCAAGTCTCAGGACGTTACAGGGTATCTCAACATCCTCGAAAACACCAAGTCGACTCCCAACCCAGACAGCGTGGCCGCCGACTTAACAGCCTTCATCGATGCCGTCCTCACCGGCAACCTCGGCCTCGTCAACACGCGCACCCTCGTGACCGACTTCATCGCCGCCCTCCGCGCCCTCGACAACCACGACCTCTGGCTCCAAGTCGGCCAGCATGCCATCCGCACCATCCCCACCACCGCCCTCTCCTCCTCCCTACTCGAACAGTCCGCCGCCCTCCGCGAGCTCGTAGCGACCGCGCACGAGGCCAACGAAGACTTCCTCGACGCCGCCAAGATGCTCTCCGACATCCCACTCGACAGCTCACAACGACGGGTCGGCGACGCGGAAAAGGCCGCCATCTGGGTGCGGATCGTGCGCAACTACCTCGAGGTGGACGACAGCACGACGGCGGAGCGGTACCTGAACAAGCTCAAGAACGTGATGCACGACGTGGCGGACGCGGAGCTGAACCTGCACTTCCGGGCTGTCGGCGGCGCGCATCCAGGACTCGAACCGCCAGTTCCTGCAGGCCGCCAAGAGCTACCACGACATCAGCTTCTCGCCCGCCATCGCCGAGGACGAGCGCCTGCACACCCTGGCCATGGCCATCAAGTGCGCCATCCTGGCCCCCGCGGGGCCCCTACGCGGCCGCGCCCTCGCCCACCTGTACAAGGACGATCGTTCCGCGGGGCTCGAGGAGCACGGGATCCTCGAGAAGATGTTCTTTGATCGACTGCTGAGCACCGCCGAGGTAGACAAGTTCGCCCAGGGCCTCGCCCCGCACCAGCTAGCCAAGACGTCGGACGGGTCGACCGTGCTGGCCAAGGCGGTGGTGGAGCACAACCTGTTGAGCGCGAGCAGGTTGTACAGCAATATCGGGTTTGACGAGCTGGGCTTGTTGCTCGGGCTGGACGGGGAGAAGGCGGAGGATACGACGGCCAGGATGGTCGAGCAGGGGCGGCTGGTCGGTTCGATCGACCAGATCGACAGGATTATATGGTTCGAGGGCGGCGACGCGTCGGGGGAGAAGGGCAGTGGTCGGGCAGAGACAGCGGTGGGCAAGGAGATGCGGCGGTGGGATGCAAACGTGCAGGCCCTGGCCGAGGATGTAGAGCGGTTGACGGATGCGCTGCAGGCCGAATTCCCAGAGTTCGTGGCTGCTCAAATCGCGGTATGAATGAATGTATTTCCCGTCAGGGGGAAAGTAAAGTTACCTCAGCGGGAGTGGATAGATCCCGCCATTCCACTGTTAACCACTGTAGGCCTGACAGCTGGAGGAATAGACGTAATCACGACTAACGAATAAACCAATCAACTCCTGTTAACCCTGAATCCTGTCCGGTCCGTGTCCCCTGTTACGCGGTACCTTGCCTGTTGCAAAACTCCCGAACGCCAGCCAGCCCGACCCAGCACCAGCCTTCTATCCCAGCCCTGAATCTTTGCATCTGATCCATCTAGTCCAGATCCGCCTGGCGAACCACCACATACCCCTGGTTGATCGAATTAGGGTCGCCGACCTCCTCTTCAAACTTCTTGTCGTCGTCCTTAAAGAGACGCCTCCGCTTCTGCGGCCGCTGCGGGCTGTTGGCTTTTTCCTTGGCCAGCAGGCTGACCAAGTAGATGCCGATCTTGTTGCCCATCATGTCGTAGCCGTCGGCGGTAAAGTGGATGTGGTCGCCCCAGTACTTCTTGCGGTCGGACAGGGGCATGGAAAAGAAGGGGATGACGGCGTGGAGGTCGTAGACGTAGCTGTTAGGAGGAGCTTGGTTAGTGCCGATTGTGAGGAGGAGGAGGGAAGGGTGTGGACTCACAAGTTTTCGTGTTGATAACTCTTGATAAGTTTATTCAGCAGGTTACGCTTAGCGTCGATCCGCTGCCTTACTGCTGGTGCCACGATCCCCGCTTCGGGGACGGTAAGAGCCAGGACCTTGCAGCCGTGAGAGAGCGGGACCTTCCAGACTTCCTGGAGTGATTCAAAAATCTTGTTCGCAGGCAAGCCCATGCCGATGTCACTGTTGTGGCTGGTTTAGTGTCGTTTCCGTGCCCGTGTAACGAGGGATGGAACCTACTTTGTCCCTCCCAATATAATGGCCCAATCGTATGGTTTCTCATCAGCTTCTTTATCGACCTTCTTCGGCGGGGAGACTGGGACACCGCAGCATTAGCAAATCCGAATCACAGTATAGACCTCAGCTTAGCCCAGGTAAATCACCCACATTGCGCCTTGATCCGCGTCTGAAAGCCGTGTTCGACCGTCGCCCCGGATACCCCATCCTCGACCGTGGCTACGTCAAGGTCGGGGTACGCCATCGACACCATATTTTCCAGCATCTCATTGTACGGGTGGTGAATCGCGCCCCAGGCCGAGTAGCCGGCCGTGAGTGAGTCGCCGAAGCAGAGGATTCGGAGCCGCGGACGGGACGTCATCGTGGCGAGCAACGAGCGCGCATGCGCCGAGCGAGCGTCGGGGAGCGGGGATTGTCGACGAGCAGAGGGATGTTCTACTAGCTGATGGAGGAGCGGGAAAGGAGAACGGCGCCCCGGGAGAGAGATGGGATTTCAATGAGCAAAAGAGTTGTCTACCTAACATAAAGTGTTTGTGTTTGATGAAAGAGTCACGGGTGAGATGGTGTTGACGGGCGAGATGGTGTTGACGTGCACGGGGCTGAGGCAGCTGGCTGGTGGGGGTGGGGCGTCAGCCCAGTGCGGCCCTGCTTGCCTGCCCCATGGGCCATTCACCGCTGGTGGGTTTCCAGGCGGGCCAGGGTGCCCGCGTGGGAAAGGGAAGCAAACCACCTTGCCACCCAAGTGGACGTGCGGGCCGTGATTTGGGGTTGGGAAAAAGAGAGGATGAGACGAGTGTCCGTTTCCTGGACAAAACAGAAAATCATTATTTACATCTGAAAAAATCAATCGCTAGTGTTGAACCAGCGCCTTCGGAGCCCTGACCTCCTGCTACGCCACGAGATAGCTTGAAGAGTTGCGTGGATGCTAGGATGCTCAGGGAGCTCAGTTTGAGCTTTTGGTGCGGTTCCGGGTGTCCACAGGTTAACTCGCTGCTCTCGAAGAGCAGCCTGGCTACACTCAGAACAGTCCTGAAAAAAAATAAATAAAAAAAAGTTGAGGCATCTTAAAACCCACAAGGCTTCGAGCTGGTTCTCGCCGGGATTATCTGCGACCCAAATCTCGGTGGGTGCCTCTGTTGCCAAGGTTCGGTCGGATGAGCATGCAGCGAACTGCCGTGCTCGGCGGCCGATTTTCCCTCCAATCCGCCGAAGCGGAACGGCTATCGTTCCCTGGTCCCCGGCCGAGACCACCGCTGCAAAGCGCAGACCAAGCCTAAAAGAAGGAGTTTCAGGGGAGCTTCGCCAATCATCAAGCCCCCAATGGAACTGATGACAGTGGGCAATTGACGATACCGGCGCCGACTCCGCAGTGCGGTCCGGAGTAACAATATAATGCCTTACCCCCCGAGCCCACAATTCGCCTTGCGCCCTGCTATTGCTTGTGCAGATAGGTAGAATTGGATGCCGACTGTCAGGTTTTGTGATTTGTGAAGATGGCAAAGGTCTTTAGCGCAGAGGAAGGCAAGCCCCCGCAAACCCACCACCAACACCAGCACACACCGACACAAACTTACTAACACCGCTTCTTCCGCTTGTCCAGTCGCAAAACACACCTCCCCAGAAAGCTGCTGGGTCGTCCTCCACGGCAATGTCTACGACGTGACCGACTTCCTCCCCGAGCACCCCGGCGGATCCCGCATCATCCTGCAGCTCGCCGGCCGCGATGCCACGGCCGAGTACGACCCGATCCACCCGCCGGGCACGCTCGAGGAGAACCTCAAACCCGAAGCCAAACTAGGCGTGGTAGACGCGGACAGCCTCAAACAATTACAGCGGCAGGCCGCGCAGGGCCGACCGCAAGACGACGAACCCAAAACCCCTCCCCCACCGCTCGACACCCTCCTCAACCTCGACGAGATCGAAGCCGCCGCCACCTCGCAAATCTCCAAAAAATGCTGGGCCTACTACTACTCCGCCTCGGACGACCTCCACACCAAAACGCTCAACAACCTCGCCTACCGCGCCATCCTCCTGCGCCCGCGCGTCTTCGTCGACGTCACCCGCGCCAACACATCCACCACCCTCCTCGGACACCGCGTCTCCACACCGCTCTACGTCTCCCCCGCCGCCATGGCCCGCCTGGCCCACCCCGACGGCGAAGCCGGCATCGCGCGCGGGATATCCCGCTTCGGCGCGCTGCAGCTGGTGTCGCACAACGCGTCCATGAGCCCCGAGCAGATCGTGGCGGACGCGGCGCCGGGCCAGCTGTTTGGGTGGCAGCTGTACGTGCAGACGAACCGGGCCAAGAGCGAGGCCATGCTGGCGCGCATCGCGCGCATGCCGGACCGCTACAAGTGCGTGGTGCTGACGCTGGACGCGCCCGTGCCGAGTAAGCGCGAGCATGATGAGCGTGCCGCGTTGGAGGCGCGGTTGGTCATGGAGGCGGCGAGGCCGCCGGTGGGGGCGGGGCAGAAGCCGGATGTGGATGCCGGGGTGGGGAAGAAGTTGTTTTTTGGGACGGCGGCGGACTTGACGTGGGAGACTACGCTGCCGTGGCTGGTGAAGCATACGACGCTGCCGATTGTGCTGAAGGGGATTCAGACGCATGAGGATGCGTTTCTGGCGGCCCGGTACGCGCGGAAGCATCCTGGGACGGTCAAGGCTATCATCCTGTCGAATCACGGCGGCCGCTCGTTGGATACCTCGCCGCCGGCGGTGCACACGCTGTTGGAGATTAGGAAGTACTGCCCCGAGGTGTTTGATACGATAGAGGTTTGGGTGGATGGGGGTGTCAGACGCGGGACGGATATCGTCAAGGCGCTGTGCTTGGGCGCAAAGGCGGTGGGTGTGGGGAGAGCGGCGCTTTGGGGGTTAGGCGCCGGCGGCTGGAAGGGTGTTGACCGGACGTTTGAGAGTGAGTTGCCTTTCTTCTACTGTTGGTTTGACCTCTCTACGATTTGATTGCTGACATTCGCCGGTCTAGTTCTACAAGGTGAGATCGAGACATGTATGAAGATGATGGGCGCCAAGGACTTGTCGGAGCTTGGGTCTCGGTTTGTGAGTCTTCATCCCATCTTCGCTGGCCTTCCGTCCGAAGCTGACAACACAACCCTAGATCAACACCCGTGCGGTAGAGCGAGATATTTTCGACGGCGACGCTGGCTTGGACCGGTCAGGGCTCTGGACGTCCTCCCGCGCCAAGCTCTGATCATATCTGACTGTGCCTGCCAAGATTGCGGGGAAAGGCGATCTTTGTCTTTCGACATCTTTTTTCAAGCCTCGGCGTCAGCGTCTTTGACATGTGGACGGGGTGGGCCGGTCTTTGCGGGGAAGCTGGGGCCCCAGCCGATCTCGGTTTCGTTCCAAGATGGAGATTCTTGGTCGTTTCTTGGATATGTACATGCACACCGTCATTGCAGGGAGTGGGGAATATCGAAGGGTTGTTTTGGGCAAGAATTGCTGCAGTTATATTGCGGGTTGGTGCTACCGTCTTGTGGTGGTGGTTATAGAAAGGGTGGCCACAGACATGTGATGTGTCCCCGGAAGACTCTAGTTAATGGCAGTTTCAGACACTACCATCGCAAGAACAACAGCCTCGCCAACTCTGCACACAGGAAGGCTGGTTTCGGGATTCGACCCTTTAAGTTCTGACAACGGGGCCAATGACCATCTGGAAGGCGCAGCACGCCGATCTCGAGTGTAACGGTGTGTTGGTGTGAGACCTTGCGGATGCGGGTATGTGGCGAGGCGTTTTTGGTTGTTCTGGACGGTCTCGGTCAGCATGTGGGTGTCAGTCAGTGCCGTCCGATTGAACGAGACAATCTTGCCCCGTCTAGCTTGAGATGACCCGGCCTCGGTGTAATGTTACTCATATTGATGAATACCAAACACCAAGCGATACGAATACGTCGAGGGTCGGCACTGTCTGAGTGCAACGGTTGCAGTACTACCGAGTACTCGCCCTTGAAACGGGGTGTCGACTGTTCGAGACGACATTTCGATGCTCAGGTTGATCGTGGGTCGGGTTCCGCTGGAGGTGGCCCCTTCTTCAAGAAAATCCCCTTGCAGAGCGTTCGCTTCGTTGCGGAACGCTCTCGAAACAACCAACCTTTGGCCGCCGATTGGTTGCTCGGCTTTAATTTGGAGTCGTCGCCGTGGCCAGTCACGACGGTTCAGTGGATGCGCCGTTGTTGTGTGGTGAAGGGGACAACTGCTGAAACCAGCAAAGGGTTGCCTCCCGTCTGCTTTGTGCCTTTCCTCATCAACCCCCACAATCGGCCATTCAACAACAGGAAGACGATTTGCGCGATGATCTGGCGATTTTGAGGTTGACTGTGCCTCGCTCGTCCTGGGTCCCCTTGCTGTCCTGACTCGGTTGACACGGTTGCCGCATGAAACCCCAGATCCGACTCGGTTCAAATTTCCGAAAGGCTCCATCTTCCCTCAACAGCTCTCTCCGCGCCGAATCACATCATGTCATGAGCTTCTTTTTTGGAGGTTTGAGTGGAGTAGAGTGTTAATCTGTTGGCTGGCGAGCTTTTCCAAACAAAAAAAAAAAATTGGTCGATAAATGGCGGGCCATTTCCGCTATTACGACGGTCAATATTGTTTCGAGACGTCCGAACTCTGGTCGACAGGAACGGCCCGTTTTCCAGGTTCGGCCTGTGTTGGTCGCGTCGGCTTTTGCACATGCAAAAAAAAATGTTTCCTCGGGGTCGGGTCCCATCTGAGGGAATAGCTGAATATTGACTGGGTGAACCTCTTCTTGGCCTGCAGCCGGCACCCCTCAGTACGAAGTACCGCAACTCAAGTCTCCAATAATGCCAATCCTCTGACGTCTTGCTGGGCGCTGCGAGACCACAAATTTTCATGTGCTCCATTTCCATCTTCAAAGATGCCGAGGAGCTGGCCTAAGCCGACAAGGGTGGGAGCGACATCCCTGGACCCCCCGGCACGAGAGGGCAGCACTGCAGCACGACATGATTTCCTTCGCGCGTTCTTCTTCGGGAAGTCACGCCCGGCATACCGGCAGCACAGCGACGGTTGCACAGAACGTTTTTTTGGGCTTCAATTTCCCTTCCACGAGCCTGACGGTTTACTAACTGCAAGCATCATTGTTAGGTCATCCCGCAACGCCGACAGGGAGTAAACAAGACGAGGTAGGCAGTTGGCGGCTACCGCAGACGCCGTGGCGCTGCCTGTGCAACGCCTAATCCGATCACGACTTGCAGATCGAGGCGCCACAGACAAAGCATCGACAGACCGAAAACCGGTTTGAGCATGTTCGAGTCGTGTTCCCATGGCCCAAGGCGGGAACTTCTGACGCCAGCAAGCGGGCATGCAACTAGTCTATATCCGGCATTGCGCACGATGGTCAGCATGTGCTCTGGAGGGTTCCCCGCGGTGTCGACAGACATCATCCCCACATCCTCAGCGGCCAATGTCAAAGACGAGGATTATTCTCTCGGCGTCTGGGGCATTGTGGGAGTGTCAATTCCATGCGGAGGTTTCCCCGCAATATCGCTTGGGCCAGGCCCATCCCCATGAAGCCAAGAGTGTTCCCCGAGGCCGCCAAGTTTTCTCTGAGTTGATGGCTTGTGATCGTTCGCCGTTCACAGCTACTAACTCCAGTCACGACAGGTTTCTTGACATTTGACAACAGAGGGAGAGACAACAGTTCGGGGACTGTAACGTTGGGCATGCTACGTATGGTACGGACTGCTGCAAGCGGACTCGACAATTTCCGGCCCATTTTGGAGCATATCCCCGTGTAGGGTTAGGGTTCTACGCCTGCTGTTCCCGGCCCCCTGACGGAGATGCAGTTCGGACGACCTGCTCGATAGGGGCAAGCGGCCGGCGATGTGTGGCCCGCATTGGGAGCCAATAGCTGGGGTAAGTGGGTTTCCGCCCTCGTGCGCGACTGCTCGTTTGTTCGACATTTCGGTGGTGGCAACAAGGTTGCTCCTTTCTTTCATCTCTCACGCGGAACCGATGATCGAGGCTCCCATGCATCCATCGCCCGCCCTGCCGGCCTTCCCACCTTCCATTGAAACCCCTGTTTGCCGCTAGTTGGGGGTTCCCAGGCAAGCCAGGGAGGGAGACATTGGACCCTGCTTCCTCCCAAATTCCCGACCACTAGTTCGTCCCAAGAATTTCCATCTCTTATAAGTGCGCGACCCTGTCCCGTTGCCCGCGCCCACCTTTTGCTTCTATCTCATGCCGATCCTCTCCCTCGCCCGTCCCTTCGACGACACTTAACTTATTCGGTCCTTACTCTTCGAGTGAGAGAACCGGTATCACAACACCACTATCCAGCCTTCATCCGAGCAACGCCACGATGAGCGACGTCGATAAGTCCGGCGTTGCCCAGGCGGAGAACGTCTCGGGCAAGCCCCGGAGGCGCGGCTGCTTGGGTCACTGCGCCAAGTTTTGGTGGGCGTATTTGATCGTTGTCGTGGTTATTGTTGTCGTGGTTGTGCCTGTGGTGTAAGTGACAAATCCCGTCTCCTTGCCGTACCAACCATGCGCCGTATGCTAACCACGCCGTCAGCCTCCTGGTCGGCGTTCCCAAGATCGCCCAACAGAAGCTTGATGATGCCGAACTCATCCTCAACAGCCTCGTCGTGACCAACACGCAAGGCAAGAACCTTACCATGACGCTCAGCAGCACCATCAAGACCGATGGTTCCGTCCACGCCGACATCGACGCCTTTGAGGGCATCATGTACCTCGAGGACCACGAGCCCCACACTCCATTCGCCAAGATCAAGTTCCCCCCCACGACCGCCGACGTTCTCCAGACGGTCAACGTCACCCAGTTCCTCCCTATCGACGACGTCAAGGCCTTGACTATCTTCAACACTTGGCTGCTTGCCAACCAGACGCTGCGTGTGACTGTCCTGGGCGACACCAACGTTCGTGTCAGGGGCATCTCGCGATCTTACCCCGTCACCTTTAAGAAGACGGTTACTACGCCCGGTATGCAACTTTTATCCGTGGGCTTTTTTCAGTTAGGCCATGTACTGATTTAATGCTGCCCAGGTCTTCGCTTGCTGGAGGGCACTGTTGTCAACCCGACCTGGATTGGCCTCGAGCCGGATGAGAGGGGCAACAACATGAGGGCCACCACCATCATCCCCAACCGCTCCGTTGTCTCTTTCGAGCTGGTAAGCCCCTCAAACAAAGCCCTAATCCCAGCCCTAGCCAGCCACTGACAAGACCCAGGGCAACACCACGTTCCACAACTACCTTCTGGGCGAGGAGGTCGGCACAGTTTTCATCGACAACCTCATCCTCCGCCCCGGCATGAACGAGTACCCGATGCGCGCCACGGTCAAAAATGAGGCCGTCATCAACGCGCTCGGCCAGAAGCCGTACTGCGAGCAGAAGGGCGTCCTGCCGTTCCAGATCCGCGGAAAGACGGTCATTAATCATGGCCAGCCGCTGCCCTACTTCGCCGACGCCCTCGCCGCCCACAACCAGACCATCGAGATCCCTATTGGGGAGGCCGTGAACAAGTCGCTGGGCGTCGTCGTCCCGTGCGGCGGCCTCGGCAGTGGTGGTGACAAGAGGTCGAGCCTTCTGTTCTAAAAGCCCTCCGGTGCTGTTTGTTATTCTCGTCTTAATATTTTGGTTTTCTGCGTGCGCCATCGGCGGGGATATATTATTCTACTATGATGATGATGGGAGATACCATGAGCTAAGGGTCTATGTTATGGGAACCATATGGCGCGAGTTTCTGCGTCTCGGCTGCCTGGGGCAGTGGGTGACGAGATGTTCGGGCTGCCAGAAACGGACAGGCAAGCATGTAGTTAGTATTATGCACACGCAGGACACGGCAGAGCGCCGGGCCCCAGCGAGGCAATGCCATGCTGGAAATATCATGAATGCCGTCCCGCTGTCTGTGCGCGAGTCCTGAAGTGCCGGCTTGGCGAGGTTGTGAAACGCCAAGCTGAGATGCAGCTGGTGCTTATGACGTGAAACGAGGTTCGGGATGGCGGTCCGAGAAGTGATACAGTGGCTTAAATGAAGCAGATAATCCTTGGGCAGTAAATATGTACATCACAAACTGAAGAGTCGTGTGAAAGTATGACCGTCTCATCTGATCCTTCTGTAGTCGGGTATCACACAAATGTACCGGAGTTTGTATCATACATGGTTTCTTCTCCCTCCGTGTCCCTCACTTCCTTTCGTGACATCTCCACCCCACCAAGGACACGCATCACGCATCATGTATCCCACCTCCCCTTCTTCCTCCCCGACGCCCCCCCAACCCCAGGCGTCCCAGACCTGCTCCCCCCAGCCGAGCCAGCCCCACCACCAGCAGCGGCCGAAACAGCAGCAACGAACTCAACCGCCTCTCCCCGCCCGCGCTCCCTCACCCTCGTCTCCCGCTCCTGCGCCTTCCTCAACGGACCACGATACGCCCACGCCGGGAAACACGTCGGATCCCACACCCCCGCGCTCAGCACCGTCGCGTACTGCTCCACGCCCCGCCCACCAACCCCTCCCCCTCACCACCACCACCACCACCACCCATCTCAACATCACCATCCTCTCCCCCCTCACCACCAAACTCCGTCCCCACCCCCACAAACCCCAACAAACGCTCCACCACCGCCGGATTCGCCATGCCCGCCGACCGCGCGAGCCTCTCATTAAAGTGCACGCCGCGCGTGCGCTTGAGGCGCAGGAAGGTGTCGAACTTGGCCGTGAGCGCGTCGAGGCCCGGGGGCGGCGAGCCCGGTGGCGAGGCGGGGATGTCCATGTTGGGGACGGCGGGGAGAGTCAGGTTGTGCAGGAGGGTGCGGGTGCGGGTGTAAGGGGAGGGGGAGCGTTGGGAGGGGTTGGTGTTGTCCGGGGCGGAGAGGAAGGCGAGGTCGATTTCTTCGGCGGCTTCTTCTTGCTCTGCTTGGGGTTTTTGGTCGGAGGCGTTTGTTGTTGTTTTTGGGGGTGGAGGGCGGGAGGGGCCGAGGGTTGGGCCTAGTACTGGGCCGAGGGCTGGGGTTGGCACTGGGGCTGGGGCTGGTGGTGGAGGGTGTGTTGGGGTGGATGAGCTGGTGGCGGTAGGTTCTGGCTCTGTGAGACGGTTAGCGAGGGTGGTACGGGTGGTGATAGTGGCATGACCGCATACTAGGTACAGTAGGGGTATTGGAAATTGGCGGCTTGATTTCCGTTTTCGGAGGCTGGAGGATGAGATGTTAGCATGCCAGAAACGTGAGGTAGTAGTGGTGTTGATGAGTATGAATAAACTTCTTACCACATCAACCGGTGTTTGGACCCCCTCATCCTCGTCGCTACTGTCGTATTGAACGAGACCCGTCATTTTTACAAATTTTAGAATATTCTTAGAAACAAACACGCTTCAGTTTATTTCGTGGCAATTGATGAAAAAGTCGGAGTGTTTTCTTTTGAGTTGATCAAGAAGGGTATCACGTGGAGAGCTTGGCGTTGAGCCCGATTGATGTGCAGCCTGGCTCGCCCCATGCCTCAGGCAGCGGAACGAGCCTTGGCACTCAGCCGTCAGCCAGGCGAGAAGGCAGCACTGGGACGCGAAGCTACAGGAGCTCCAGCCTCACCCCAACTGCATTACAAGCTTCCCTCCAACCCGCCCAACCCAACCATCACCAAGAACAAAACGACGAGTCCACGCGGCTAATCGAGATTTTTTATTGTGCGATTAGTTGCGTCAACCTCTGAACTTGTATCGCCCGCTGAATTTATCGATCACCCCGCAAACATGGACCACCGCCCGCAAGCTTGGGGTCGTGTACGTTCCCCCCCCCATCATTGCCCCCCGCTTGCGACCACTACAACCATGTTAACCCAGCACAGCCCAGAGACGATGTCTACGGTGCCTATGATGCTTCCTACCTCCACACCGACGGCCCCAAGACGGCGACACAATCGCCCATTGTTACCGGCACCTCAGTCATCGCCATCAAGTTCAAGGACGGCGTCGTCATAGCGGCCGATAACCTGGGTACATCCCCCCTCCTCGCTCTCCAAGCCACCCACTCCCAAGCCACCACCAAACCAACCACCCCAAAACTAACAACCCCCACCAAACAGCCTCCTACGGCTCCCTAGCCCGCTTCACCGACGTCAAGCGGCTGCGGACCTTCCTCTCGACCTCAGTCGTCGGCTTCGGCGGCGACGTCTCCGACATGCAGTTCCTCGACCGACACCTCAACGAGCTCGCCATTGACGAGGCGTACGAGCATGACATCGTCAGCACGGGGGCGGAAGCCGACCAACCCACGGGCTCCGCGGCCGGCCAGCTCAACGCGGCCAACCTGCACAAGTACCTGGCCAAGCTGATGTACCGGCGGCGCAGCGACTTCGACCCGCTGTGGAACCAGGTGCTGGTGGCGGGGTTCGACGCGCAGGCGAAGCCGTTCCTGGCGTCGGTGGACCTGCGCGGGACGACGTTCACGTCCCCCTCGCTGGCGACCGGGTTCGGCGCGATGCTGGCGCAGCCCATTATGCGGCGGTTCGCGGCGACCGAGGAGGACGCCGCGCGGCTGACGCGCGACGAGGCCGTCAACGTGGTGAAGGAGTGTATGAAAGTGCTCTTTTACCGCGACGCCCGCTCCCTGGACCGCTATAGCATTGCGGTTGTTACCAAGGATGGGGTGGAGCTGAGCGAGGACGAGCAGCTGGAGAAGCAGAGCTGGGCGTTTGCGGAGCGGATCCGTGGGTATGGCACGCAGGTTGTGTAAAGAGAGGTAGATTGGGTGGGCGAGCTAGGCAGATGGAGTAGCATGAAATTCACGAGGCTAGATCTGCTTTCACTTTCGGTGGTACCGTTTGCATGTTGGTTGGGAAAAGGTGGGTGAGTTTACAAGTAGTCATGGCTGGGCTCCGGTGATTAACCCAAGCAAACTGTGCAACACCAAAAACGCGGCGTATCGCAGATGGCAGTCCATAACAAGTATACTGCTGCGTTAAATGGCTCGTCCGCCATAATGGCTCCTCGCTATCGCTACCGCTACTTTTGCACACTAGGCCAACCGATGCTGTTTTGCCAGACCCAATCCTTCGCGGCGCCATGCGGGGATCCATGGCTGCCCTCCAATCCCTTACGTCGACTCCTAGCCAGCGGATGGACGGTAAGATAGGCGATATTACTAGTAGTACATAACAAGTGGCCTTACTGTCCAAAATGGACGGCCGGCAGGGCTCTCCGTATCTCTGAACCGCTCCGCAGCTCTCCCACAGCACCTAGCAGCCGCTTCACTCGACAGTCACCGACTTGGCGAGGTTGCGGGGGAAGTCGACGTTGAGACCCTCCATGACAGCGAGCCAGTAGGCGATGAGCTGCAGGGGAATGACGTTCAGGATGCCCTGCAGGACGTCGACCGTCTTGGGGATCTCGATCTTCTCAGCCTGGCTGGCCGTGAACTCGTCGTCATCCGGGTTGCAAATCACAATAGGCTTTCCACCACGGGCAACAACTGTGAACCACAATAGTTAGCAGATATTCCTCGGGGTTTGGGGGACGCGCGGAGACAAACCTTGTTGGTAGGCGTTCAGACTCTTCTTGAAGATATCGTCGCGGGTCAGGATCATGATGATGGGCAGGTTCTCGTCCACCAGGGCGAGGACACCGTGCTTGAGCTCACCGCTCATGACAGCCTCGCAGTGCAGGTAGCTGATTTCCTTGATCTTGAGGGCACCCTCCAGCGCGGTGCTGAACTGGCTGCCGCGACCAAGGAGCAACAAGCTCTTCTGGTTCTGGAACGTCTTGGCGCACAGCTGCTTGATCTTCTGATCCTGCTGCAAGATGGACTTGATCTGGTCGCTGATCTTGCTAAGACCCTCCATGATCTCCTCGCGCCGCTTCGTCTTAGACGCCCGGTCCTCGCTAAGCGACAGGGCGAACATGACCATGGCGATGAACTGGGAAGTGTACGCCTTAGTCGAGGCAACACCGATTTCGGGACCGGCGTTGACGTGGACACCACAGTGGGTAAGCAGGGAGATGCTGGAACCGACCACGTTCACTATACCGACGGTCAGGGCTCCGCGCTCCAGGCAGTACCTCAGCGCCATGAGAGAGTCAGCCGTCTCGCCGGACTGCGACACGAACACGCATGTGTCATCTCTGAAGACGGGCGCTTGGCGGTCGAGGAAGTCGGACGCGAGTTCGACAGCGATCGGGATCTCGGCGAGCTCCTCAAAGATACCACGAACAGCCATGCAGCTGTGGTACGAGGTACCGCAGGCGATGAAGATGATGCGGCGGCACCGGCGGATCGTGCTAATGTAGTTGCGCAGGCCACCGAGCGTCACCGTCTTGTTGCCGATATCGAGACGGCCACGCATGGTGTTGATGACGGACTCGGGCTGCTCGAAAATCTCCTTCTGCATGAAGTGGTCGAACTTGCCCTTCATGATCTCCTGCAGCTCGAGCTCGAGCGTCTGGATAGTACGCACGTTGCTGCTCCCGTCGGCCTTCTTGAGACGGTGGATGTTGAGCGAGCCCTCGTGGATGTGCGCAATGTCATCGTCCTCCAGGTACATGACCTTCTTGGTGTGCTCGACGATGGCCGAGGGGTCCGAGGACAGGAAGAACTCGGTGGGCATCGGGAGACCGTCGTCCGTCATGAACGCGCGCGACTGCGAGCGGTGCAGGAGCGACTTGTCGGCAGCACCCAGGAGGTTGGGCGACAGAAGGCCGCCAGAGCCCGCCGACTTCTTCAGCGCGACATTCTGGGCCGCTGTCTCGGCAGGCAGCGGGTTGCTCTCATCGGCGTACTCGACATCGACAAAGTCGACCTTCATGCGCTTCTGCGTCTTGACACCGATGACCAGCGGGGAACCCTTGCGGGCGGCGATCACCTCGTGGGGGTAGTGCACGCTCTTGATCAGCAGACCGTAGGCGCCCTCGAGCTCGCTGATGACAGCCTTGGCCAGATCCGTGAATCCTATGCTCGGGTGCTGGTCGTAGATGTACTTGGTGAGCTTGGCGATGCACTCGGTGTCGGTTTCTGTCTCGAACCGGAAGCCCTTGCTCTCGAGCAGTGTCTTCAGTTCCTTGTAGTTGGTAATGATACCATTGTGGACGATGGAGAACTCCCAGTTGGGATCGGACCTGGCAGCCAACGTGTTAGCGGGTATTCGAACCAATGCTACCCCACAGACCCGGCTCAACCTAGTTCACGTACCTGTGGGGGTGGCAGTTGATGCGCGACGGCGGGCCGTGAGTAGCCCACCGTGTGTGGGCAATACCGCAGTGTGAATCGAAGACCTTGGTGAGGTCGAGGTTGCTCTCGTCGGTGAGTTGCTTCAGCTTGGCAACCTTGCCGACCTCCTTGAAAGCGAACACCTCCTTCTTCTTGTCGCCATCGATGGCGAAGCCGGCAGAGTCGTAGCCGCGGTACTCGAGGCGAGAGAGACCTAAATTAAATCGAAAGGGCGTACGTCAGCCATCTGGATCCTGAAGCCCCCTGTTTCGCGCAGATGAAAATGGCGGGGCAAAGATCGGTTCCTGCAGCACCAGGGGTGTAGTGTAGTGCCTCGGCGGTAGTGTCAACGTACCGTTGATGAGTGTGTCGACAATGAACTTGCGGTCCTTTTCCACCAGGTAGTTGATGTAACCGAAAATGCCACTACATGAGACAGCCTCGTCAGTAAACTTGGGGGCTTCCCTTGACTTTCCCGCTCGCTCGATCTCTTCTACCCCCGTTGTTGGGGCAGCAACTAGAAACAAGGCGGGGTTGTTGGGTTTGGGGTCTCACGTACCACATCTTGACGAACCAACCAACGACTGACGGGAAGAAACAGAAAACGATTGCAAGTGTGGGCGCGGGATGCCGGGGGTATCACGGAACACTGGTGTAGCAAGGCCCAACGATCTGGAAAACGACGCGGTTCTGAACAACAGTTGCGAAGAGCGGATGGATGGGCAAGAATCAGTTGCTGCGGTCGTCGGGGAGCTTGACTTTATGGACGATTCTGGCGGGGGAGGAATGCTGCAGGCGCAGGCGCATTGTGGAGCCCACTGGCGGCCAGATGAGACAGGGGTCAAGCCCAAGGAACAAAAGTCGCCATTGCCCTGACAGGGGCCTTCCAACCCAAAGACAAGCACACAAGCACCACCTTCTCTTCGGAGAGGGGAGCAAACCCGATGGTTGTTTTCCCAGGCTCGTGTTTCGTTTTTCTTCTGTTTTCTTCCAGGTTACGATCGGCGTAAAGCACCTGCATATCGATGCACCACGCAATATGCACTTAATTGTCTTCTCTTTGGTTCAAAGCCGAACCTGACAAGAGGACCACCGCCGCAGGGGACCCACGACTGTGTTGTGTTGGCTATGTTTTGGGTGCAAACCCCTCCTTTTCTCATCCTCCAAGCTTTGCCAAAGTTGAAAACAGCATCGCGACCCAGCCATCCGGTCGTTTGTTTACATGCTGCGCAGTCTTCAAGACATGCATAGGATCATCGCGCCGCCCGTGTCTCACACACCACCTTGGCCAAATGGCCCTCATTCCATTACACCGGCTGCGTCCGAGTTAGACAATGCCAGACTCAGAAAGCCAGAGGGTCGTTCATCTGGAATTCCGCCTTATCAACGCATGGCGTAGCCATACTAACTCAGGTAGTTACTTGTTAAGGTATCTATGCTCCTATGCAACCACTTTCTTCTCCCCAACAACTTGATCTGGGGAGCTCCGCCGTTGCAGCCAGTCATGGCGGATTCCACGCTTCCCATTGGCAGCGATCCGGCACTTCTTTGCTGCCCCCCAACGACAGTGCATCACGGAGGCGGGCGATCAACGTGTCTGGATTCTGGCCATTGTGGGAGGGGGCTGCCCGCTTGTCCTTCCCGCGCCAAGCTGCCTGTCGTGTATCTCAAATCGTCCTCACCGCCATCCGGCCATCTCGCGTCGCTGATGAGCGATGCCCTTCGCTGATGAATCCGGAAGATGCTCGCAACCATTGACCTGACCGGGCTTGGCAGGCGGAGCCAGGGTCTCTGGGCAACGGTAGTGGGGAGCTTCGTATCCCGGTGGACCAGAACAGAACGCGCCCTTCGGTCTGCTGTGTAGGTATTCACCGAGAGGTAATCAAGTTTGAACAAATGTTGCTTGGGTTTTCCGGTTTTCTGGCTGCATCGCCCCGTTGTCCCACCGGCAACCTTCTCTTGCCGGGACGACCAGCAAGGATCTCGATAGATCTGAACTTGCCCCTGACTTACACCGCGCAGCCAGAACAGTCCAGCCCACTCACCCATGATGACGTTTTCGCTTAACTAGTGTATGTAGTTAGTCGGCGGGCGCACGACAGCTGTGTGATCCCGTAACAGGACCGGATATTCCAGACTACGGGCGGCTGGCGGGCTGAACCGCACCGCCGAAGCGGCTGTTGCACGGAGATCCCTCTTCGCTTTTCCGATGTTGTTCCTGATTTTCTGGGTCCCCAACGCCACGAGCCACGCCAGGCTCGGGCACCGAGTTTGTTAGAGCCCACTTTTTGCGGCTGTGAAGCAACCAAAAGGAAAAGGGGGCCTAGCCACCTTCCCTTGGCGCCTATTCTTAGCAACCCGCGCGGCGCCCCACGAAAGGCCAATTGCCGAGGACGACGTTGAACACGAGCACAGAGATTTGAGAAGTTGAACATTGCCAAGTTTGACGTTGGAACGGAACTATCAGACGGCTTCGACATCGCCATCCAATAGCTCGCCAATTAATAGATTATTAGCACATCACAATAACTCGCCGCAATCCTGTCAGCAACACGCCCCTTCGAAAGCTCGAAGTGGTTCTGCATGCAGCTGGAAAAGGTATCAATGCTCGAGAGTGCGAGTTCTCGGATTGGCATATGCGGGGGAGCCTCACGAAGCGCTCACTAAATAATAGTCTTATATGGGCGTCCTCCCGGCCGAACCGGCGGGATGCTGCCGCATAGCCTCACAGTATTCCTACAACGCGGGGAACGAAGTAATGTATGGCATGGGGGCAATGGTGGGCTGAGCACGTGTGAAATTCCGCCGAGGCACAGACCACATCCGGCCACCAAGACTCATTTCGCTCGGAGGTCCATCGGATCGGATACTGTTACAATATTACACGCTGATCAGATGTATCCATGGAGTGTGTCCTTCCACATGTGGCGTCGCCCATGCATGTAGGATTTCCCACGATCCTCGACCTTCGTTCGTCTCTTGCGCCGGCATGCCCCTTACAGCTTCTGATATTCCAGTTTCCCCTCCAGCTTCTTCGCCTCGACCAGCTTGCGCACCGCCTTGTTGAAGTCGTCCTGGTTGATGGCGTCTCTGTCATCTTTGATGGCGAATAGGCCGCTAAAAAAAAGGGTTAGCACGACGGGAGGTTTGTTGTGCCCAAGGATCCCCACTTACGCCTCAGTTACCACGTTCCGCAAATCCGCACCGTTTAGCCCGTCGCTCATCTTGACGACACTCTCAAAGTCGATTTCGCCGTCCTTGGACACGCCGGCGGCGTGAATCTTAAGAATCTCCAATCTGCCGACCTCATTGGGCAGGGGGATCTCGATTTTGCGGTCAAGACGACCGGCGCGGAGCAGCGCCGGGTCGAGCGTATCGGGCCGGTTGGTCGCCATGATGATCTTGGTTTTTCCCAGGTAATCGAAGCCGTCTAGTTGGTTGAGCAGCTCCATGAGCGTGCGCTGGATTTCGCGATCCGCGCTCGTGCCCTCACTGAACCGCCGCCCGCCGATGGCGTCGATCTCGTCCATGAAGATGATGCACGGCTCGTGCTCTTTTGCGTAGCCGAACATTTCGCGGATCAGGCGCGCGGACTCGCCGATGTACTTGTCGACGATGGCCGAGGAGACGACTGGCAGGGATCATGTTAGTGGTTTTGTCTTGGTTGTGGGTTGGTGGGGGAGGGGTAAACGCACCCTTCAAGAAGTTGGTTTCGAGGCTGCTCGCCACCGCCCTCGCGAGCAGCGTCTTGCCAGTGCCGGGGGGTCCGTAGAGGAGCACGCCCTTGGGCGGCTTGATGCCGACCCGCAGGAACAGCTCCGGGTTCTTGAGCGGTAGTTCGATCACCTCCCTCAGCTCGCGGATCTGGTCGTTGAGCCCACCGATACCCGCAAAGCTGACCTGCCCTGGGTCCTCTAGAGACATATTGTAGACGAGGGGATCGACCTCGCGAGGGAGCATGCGCATGATGGTGAGTGTCGTCATGTCGAGCGCCACCCGTGTCCCCTGCTTCATCTTCGCCCTGTCCACCTTAGACCGGCACCCAACGACATAACGTGGCCCAGAGGAAGCCTTTACAATGACTGTAATGTGAGGTTCGACGTTAGCATTTGCGCCAGCGAGAGCGGTGATCCCCGACGGCCGGGGGCAACGTACATCGCTCCTCGTCCAGCTGCTTCAGCACTTCGCCGATAATTTGACCAACACTTTGTAACGCCTTGATGTTGTCTTCTGTCTGATCAAACTCATTTTGCAGGCCCTTGATATCCAGCCGGAGGTTCTTGAGCTTGGTCTCCCACTCCCGCGACTCGATCAACTTCTTCTTGAACGAGGCGAGGGCTTGCTCGCGCTCCGGGTCTGACGCCATGGTTGAGGGCTGTGGTCCGTCGTGGATTTCGGCGTTGATGCGATCTGGTACGACGTGATGCTGGTATCTTCGGCGATATGGAATCAGTGTACGTCGGCGGGGCTTGTGGTGGATGAAGTCGGTCGTGGGAAGTGTTCGTCGTGGTGGTTGGTTGGGTTGCGGCTGGCCCCGGTTCCGCTGCACGCAAGGCGATTTGGAGCTTACCCAAGCTTCTGTTGCCTTGCCAGAGTGGGTCTGTTTGCACTCCCTTGGCGGGCTGCTTGTGCCTCGATTTTGGGGCCGATGATTGCTTAAAGTGGACCCCCGATGCGATGCGCTGCACTATCACATCACCTGGATGGAAACTTCGCTCCAAGAACGACTAAGGTAGGAAAGGTCCTTCAAACTTGATCAATAAATCAAGCATTTTCTTATTTAGTGAAGCGATCGACGACGACGACGACGGCACGCACGCATGCGCGCACGCGACGGCAATCGAAACCCTGAATAACATCAAAAGAACAGGAGAACCGGGTCTTCAAACGAACTTCGACTCTAAAACTCGAATTACTCAACCACACCGGAGACTAACACATCCCAGTTCGCAGCCCTGGAAGTAACTACCTCACTACCTACATGAACGCATAGCCGCGGTTTTTGAGGTCTTTCAAAATTTCCCTACACCAACTCAGTTCGTCCCTGCTCCGATCCACCCCTGCTTCGAAGGCCTCGTGCGCTGTGTGGAGGGGCATTGGCACGGATTGTGGACCAAATAGCTTCATCCGGTCCTGCATCAAATACTCGATGCTTTGGCAAATCATGACTGACAGTCGCTTAACTTCCTCGAAGTATGCCATCTCGGTTCCTTGGTTAGAGTTGGGGTGGGCGCGGGAAGTTCGAAGCTCGTCAATGTTCCTCAGGCAAATAACCTTAAAGGCCCAGAAGTGCGTCAAGGCATTCGCCACGGTGATGTTTCGGAACCATATGCTCGATCTTTCAGCATCCTCTGATGGCCGGATCCAGAACATAGGGGAAGATTCCGGTGCCGAAGAGCAGAAACCATCGGCCCAGGCGTCCAATCGGTCCAGAGCAGCCTCGAAGGCCGGTAATGTTTCCTCGGCAGCACCGTCGCCCTCTGCATCTATTCGTTCGAGGATCGATGGTATGGCGGCTGCCTCGCTCATCAGCGACTGTACTGGAGAAGGGGGCGTTTCTCGAAACGGTATGGATTTCCAGTCCTCTCTTGCAAGGAATGACGACTTTTTTGAGGAGAACGCTAGCACCATCTACTTGGTAGTCAGCCAGATTTCACGCGATATTCCCCGGTTCAAGAGCCGAGGTCTTACCAACACTGGCCTTGCCCCCACAAAGAGTCTGTGGGGAATTCCAGATCCATAAAACTCGGGCCGGGATAGCTGCATCAGGTCGGCGAGACCCTGGAGATGAGCGGCCCAACTCCCTAGGGAGGTCGCGTGAAAGAACTCCGCTAGGAGCAAGCACATTACGGCCGCCGCAATCGCAACCGGGAAATCGCTGTACGGAGACCGGAGCGCATGATTGACCGAAATGAGGGCATGGTTGTATGCTTCGAGGCCCTCCGATATTGCGAAACTCCGCTTTGGGCCTCTGCTCAAGATGGATATTGCAAAGGCTCTTATGGCTGAGGCTAGAGCCTCGTCCCTGCCGCTGCCAATAATGTCTGGAAGTATCTCTACCCACGATCCGCAGATCCTGGGAGATGGTTCGACGCTGCTCTCGGGTGGGAAGGTATCGGCCTCGGGCACGTAGTTGTCAATGATGGTCAGGACTAAGTCACTTAGTGAGGGCGTCGTCGGAAGAGGTACTGGCTTCACTATCTGGGCGGATGGGACTTGCTTCCGCTGTGTATGAAGCATGCCTCTGGCGCGTCGCGATATTGCACCTCGAACCCCGACTTTCGGGTCATTGTGAGGGGGGTGGGAGACAAAAACCCAGTCAGCCGGATACCCAGGGCACTTCCGGTCACGAAAGAGGCACTGTGAGCATGCCGGGTTCTTCCCGTCACACTGTACGAGTTAGCCGGGTCGTGGTTGAGAAGACACGGCAGCTCCGGAGATACAATGGTGTACTTACACTGATCTTCCCAGTCCTGCACGCTTGGCATGTTGTCCTCTGCTTTATCTTCATGGCTGAATGGTATGGTAGCTTGAGTCCCGGCTTCTACCCCATTCGCGGTTCTAGTAGGCTTCCGGCAGATTCTTAGCAGCACTTGGCGGCTTTTGTTTCCGCAACGGGAGTGAGACGATGCTCTATATGCAGAGTCAAGAGTCTAGTCCCCGCCCCTGTGTGACGACCCAGATGGCTACACTAACCTAATTTGGATACAAAACCCGCCAAGCATTATCACAGGGGCAACTTACACCACTCGGAACCGGGATCAACCATCGCCACGACTTTAACATGACCCGGCTGCTCTCGGAGTTTCGATATGTTCAGCTTTCTGACGTGATCATGATATGGCTTACAAAGAAGAATAGAGGTCTATGTACGTGGGGTAGTTGATAAGTATATAGGTCGTTAACTTCACCTTCAATATCCTGCTCATGTCCGTTCTCAAGCAGTCTCAACTGGGCATCCCTTTTATACCTACCTGCATTACCTATCATACTCTCCGTCAACCTAAGTTTCCGTCACCATGGCTTCCAACGTCAAGTTCAACGCGCCCCTGGCCGTCACTCACATTGGAACAGCTACAGCCATCATTCACGTTGATGGCATCAACCTCTTGACAGACCCCGTCTTCTCGCCCGCCGGTACCGAATGGGACGTTGGCGTCGTGGTGCTCAAGATCTCCGATACCCCTGCAAAGGGGTTGACCAGACTCCCGCACATCGATGCCGTCCTACTCAGCCACGAGGATCACCCAGACAACCTGGACGAGCCGGGGCGCGCGACGCTTGACGGAAGGCACGTGTTCACTACCCCTGACGGCGCGAAGAAGCTGGCGCCGAGGCCAGATGTGAGGGCTATCCAGCCTTGGTAAGTATCTCCGCCCATCCCTCCAACCGAGGCGCTGGGGCAATAACTAACATCACCGCAGGGAAACCCTTCCTCTTGACATAGGCGGCAAGCGCTTCGAGATTACCAGCACGCCCTGCGAGCACCTCCCCGGCGGCGAGGTCACGGGCTTCATCATCTCGGCCCCGTCCTTCGGCACCACCGACGGCAAACCCAACGCCATCTACTTCTCGGGCGACACCATCTATCTACCGGAGCTAGCCAAGATGAAGAAGCGCTTCCGTAAGTCTGCTCCACGGTCCACTTCTCATCTCACAGAGAACCGCGGCTTTGCCGACCTGCTAACCAACCCCAGATATCTCGGTCGCTCTTCTCAACATCGGCAAGGCCACGGTCCCGCTGCCCACCGGCCCGCTGGCGATTACCATGGATGGTGCCGACGCGGCGAAGCTGTTCAAGGAGCTCGAGGCCGACGTGCTCGTGCCGATGCACTTTGAGTCGTGGGGTCATTTCGCCGAGAAGCGGGAGGAGCTCGCGGCGTCGCTGGAGAAGGAGGGGGTGATGGACAAGGTGCTGTGGTTGGAACCTGGGGTGAAGATGACGCTTGTTTGAGGCAGCGAGGGGTGGATCTTAAGTCCGGGGGAAGTGCCGTGGTTTTTGGGGTGGTTCGAGGGCCAAGATGACGATGAGTATCAGATCATCCTGGAAGCCTCACCTCAAGACTCGTACCAAGAGCAATTGACCGCTGTCCATACAGTGCTTGTCTTAGAATAGGAGAAATGCGATTGTGGTATCTACCAGCCATCTACCAATCTCCCTCAACAAGCCCCTTCTAATGGTACAATGCAGATCTCCAACCATCAACTCCATTTCATCCAGTTCCCCCCTACTTATACCCAACCCAAGCCGTCAGACAACCATCTCACATCACAAAATCACTTTTGCGTCTCTCATTCTCCATCCACAACCACTTCCACATTCTTCGGCGGCACAACTTCTTCAACGCCCGACATCCCCTTCTCCCTCAACCCCTCCGCCTCCGCCACCACCCCCGTAAAAGGGCACACCCCTGGCGCCACACCATCTCCTTGCTTCCCCTCCCCACCAACAGGGCAAGCAGAACTGCCCCCACTACCATCAACACACCCCTCCTCCTCCCTCACGAGCACCCTCTTCCCCCTCAGATACCCCTCCCGATCCAACAACGCGGCCGCATAATCCACGCCGTCCGTAAACTCCTCCCCGTCCACCACATACCACTTGGCAAACAGGTCGTTCTGGATCCAGATGACCTTGCCGAGGGCCTTGACCACGGCGATCTTGCGGGTCAGCGCCAGCCGCGGGTGCGACAGGATGGCCTCGCTGAGCACGTCCTGGATCACGGCCAGCGTCGCGCTGATGTGGATGTATTCGATGTGTAGCGGGTGGGTGCGGCCGAGGCCGGTGTGCATCATGCTGGAGTAGGCCCCGGTTAGAAGGTTGTTTGGTGGGTGGGAGGGTGTGGGAGGGTAGTGTGGAGCTGAGATTGAAGAAGGAAGAAAAGGGTGGGGAGGGGGATGGGGTGGCTTACCCGACTTTGTCGAGGTATTCCCAGAATTCCATTTGGGACGGGTCAGAGCAGAGTTTTTTGAGGTAGGCGCGTAGAAAGGACTTGCGGTGCAGGATCTGCGGGCTCATCTCGTCTAGATTCGAGTCCATGGGTCCCTCGAAGGCGGTGCTCCGCGTCTGGAAGGCACGGGCTGTGATGTCATACTGGAGAAGCTTGCGGTAGACGATGTTGACTACGGCGGGGATAAGGGCCTGGATGTACTTGGCGCCTGACCGGAGAGATTCGATGTCACCTGTGAGAGGTGTTAATGGGGAGAGGGAAAGGGGGGTGGTTCGGGGATGGGAAGGGGGCTTACTGGTACCAAAGTCAAGGAAGGAATGAAGGTAGTGAATGCGGGCCTCAAGGTTGGTGTATAGCGCCTTGCGGTCAATATGCTGCATTGGCAGGGTCCTTGGTGCCGACATTGCCGGTGATGTGTGATGTTTATGTCTTCAGGGGTAGAAGTGGAGCCTCAGGGAGCCACGGAGAGTGAATGAAATGTCTTGAGACAGTCTTGAACTTTGATTATGAGAAATATAAGAGAGAGGAATACATGGCTTTTTAAAGAACATTTGAATACACAGGTTTTCCGAATGAAACTTTGGTAATGGTGTGACTATGACACATTGGCTGGGTGGTCTGATCCGAGGAAATATCGAACGATTCTAAGTTCCATTCTTGACATTTGATTGGAAAGACTCGGACAGGTCAACCGGATCAGGAAACGAAACAACATACGACTCCCGAGCGAATTTCGCTCTTTAGGCCGGATTCTCCCGTCAGTAACCCGAAACTACAAGTTGCGGTGGTATTGTCAGTCAAATGACTCGAATTTGCAGGTTCCGCTTGTTGTCTCCCGCGATGCCTACCTAAGATAGGTACCCTGCTCGACTGGAACTAGCTAACATGGTCAGCCTATATGTGTTTACCTAATAAGAGCACTGATCACACTGGTAGCAGATAGGGGGGCTTTTGTAGTTGGAGTTTTGTAAAGTACGTGCATCTAGGTTTAGCTACTCGCCGCCTGCATGTGGTCTAACACGAGTTTGTTTAATTACGTCGTACGCCGCTATTGCCGGGAAGAAGATCAGAAAAGGTGTAGTGAAAGTATCTACCTTAGGCTACCTAGTTACCGACAAAGGTAGGACGTGCAGTTCTGCGATCATGGCTTTAGATTGGCATATGGCATCCACCGCATGCCTGTCTCGGGAAATTGAAGTTGGTGTCTAGGTAGTTGCTAAATGAAGAAGCCGTCATCTGCAGACTCCAGTTTGCCGACCAGCATTGGCAGGACGTTAGCTCTTACCTCAGAGTGAATGTAAATGCACATGCATTTCGAACCGGCCGTGTGCCTGCACTTGCCAGTAGTCTGCCGGAGAATACCGCTTCTGCTCGTAACCTCCATCTCTAGCAGAAACTTTCTTGCTTTCCATCCACCACAAGATATTGAAACCCTTTTTGAATAGCACCTCCAGCACGAGCATCATCTCCTACCTATTTCCCCATGCCAGGAACCAAGAGCCTACACGCAGTGCCCTCCCCGCTGCCCCCCATCATGGCGCGCCCAGCTCCCCGCGCCCTCCCAGACAAACTCATCCTCGTAACCAACGGCACACACCCCCTCCAACTCCAAATCATCAAACAGCTCCTCCAAAGCGGCAGCCGCGTGCGCACCACGGTACCCTCCTCCGACCCCTCCGAATGGCTCGACAAGCTCTTCGCGCGCTTCGCGCACGCCAACGCCTTCCAGCGCGTCAAGACCAGCCCGCACTTCCCCAACCACCCCTCCACCTACCAGCTCGCCGTTCGCGGCGTCCACGCCATCGTGCACGACGCCACGCCCCCGGCCCTGGCCCCGGGCCCCGGCACCAAAACCCCCCTCACGGAAGCCTGGGCCGCCACCTCGCGCGGCGTGCTGGCCCTGCTGGAGGCGGCGGCGCGCGAGCCGTCAGTCGAGGCGCTCACGTACACGAGCTCGCTGATGGGGGAGACGGCGGCGGCGGCGGCGGCGGTGCCGTTCGCTGGCGGGGAGGAGGGGGAGGTGGTGGGGGGGCCGGAGGCCGTGCGCAGCTCGTGCTTGGTGAAGGGGGAGGAGACGCTGTGGGAGTGGGTGCGCGACAAGAAGCCGCGCTTCAGGGTGAATGTGGTCAGTCCGGCGAATGTGATCGGGTACCATTTGGCGTCGCTGTATACGCAGGATTGGATGAATTGGGTGTGGACGATGTATTGGAATGGGGGGCGTGCGCCGTTGGAGATTCAGGGTGCTGGTGCGACGCAGGCTCGTAAGTCGATTCCCCTGGGGGTCTCATTCTTCCCCGTCTACCCCCCCTTTCCGCCCCACGGCTCGGCGGGGTTTGGTTAAATTGATGCTAAGAAGGGATCAACAGATTGGTACGTCGATGTCGAGGACGTGGCCCTGCTGCACATCGCATCGATCTTCGACGAGAAGATCCGTGGCGAGCGTCTCCAGGCGTGGGGTTGGTACCGGGACCGGAACGATGTCATTGACATCATGCGGGACCACACGATTCTGGAAGGCAGGAGGATGTTAGGCAAGGATTTTGATTTCCAGAAGGCGTGGGAGGAGGCGGCCAAACTCTACCCCATCATCGATGACGACGGGCCTCCTTGTGAGCAGATCTACCCCAACAGCACCAGGGCGTTGGCGATATTTGCCGACGGCAGGTGGAAGGGATATGGACGCTGGAAGGAATTCGAGCGGACAATTCGCCAAAGTCTGGCTTTTTTCGATGTTAATTGGCAATGGCCGGAGCAGGTCGAAGGGGGCGGAGGGTTTCAGGCCAACGGCATCCCAACCCGCCTTCTTCTGAATTAATGTAGCCCAGATTGATGGGGGTCACCGCGCCATGGCCTGCGTTGACGGTTGAATCAGGTGAGCATTGCCGCGTGGGTGTGAGCTGTCGAATGGGAGGTGTGGTGAGGTACATGTAGAGACAGGAGCAAGCAGATACGACCGGCCTTGTTTGGGGCGTATCCGATAGGGGTGGCAGAGATCAGGCCATCGCAATGATCGCATGTGTTCCCCAAAAGAGACAGATGTTGTTCTCGTGACCACCTTGGCGAGGGTTGCCCTGTTTGAATTGTTAGCGGATGTGCTAGTTTAGCAGTTGTAGACGCTATTAGAACTAAAAGCGTGGGATGATTCTTTCTTCTTCGGAGTTCGCCAACAATGCCCATGTCTTGGTCAACTAACAAATATCCATTTCATATGTACTACTCATCGCTTTACTCAATATGTCGCGCATTGCCATGCCGCCCACGCTTTTTGCCCACTCCTACCGCTTGGCGGACTTCCCCCAGATAAGAGCACTGCCGACTTGCCAGGGCCCTTTTGAGAGGGATGCAGTCTCGTGACACCCGCTGACTGTGCCGAGATCTTTTTTTCCAGCTGTTCGGGTTCAACAGACACCGTGCGAGAGTCAGAGAGACTGTGGAGATGGGGGGGAGGCAGTGAGTCCAGGCTCCCGAGATCCGTCTCTTCTTGTCCAATGACGTCGCGGGAGTTGTAAGAATATCTGAGATGCAACCAATAGGATGACGGCGATAACATGTCTTTCCCAGTGGCAAGGGGGAATGCAGGACCCATGCCCACCGAGATTCCCCCCTTATCTCGGGATGTTCCAAGGTGGCTTGGTGAAGGAGCGGTCGGGCACAGCACAGCAACCTTTCACCGCAAGAAAGACCTGCCGAGCTGCCTTCCAGGCGCATGCGTGGAGGCGGTCTTTTCTTGTCGGGCGGCATGGGCGTCTGTCTGTCTGGCGTGTTCGTCCCAACATTCCCAACATGGAAGGGGAAAGATAAGCCCAGATCGTTTATCATGCCTGCTGCGGGAGGGGAGGAGCGCACATGCCAACGTCAGTTGTTATCGCGTGCATCTTTAAAGACCCACGATTCCCGCTTCCGGTGCCGTTTCGAGTTTGGAATGTTCATGTTCATGTTGTATTCGTACACCTCGTCGCCTTTGACTCATTGACTCGCCTATTTCCCTAAGTTCATTCTTGGGGTTACTCTACTCACCCTACCTTCGTTTGTTATTATCATTTTGGAGAGAGTTGAATCGGAACCATGGTACGGCACCCGGCCACCCAGACGGACCAGACCCAACCGCGTCGCTCGATCTTTATCCAGATGGTGATGACGTGCAACTGACAGAGCTCCAACAGGCAACCTCCCCGCCTCTCGTCTCCCAAGCTGGGACTGTAAGAAACTCTACCCAGCCTTGGGAAAAATAACTGTTGACTCACACCCTCAGCTTCAGAAATATTTCTCGCTCGACCAGAAGGGTACCATTATTGCCGAGTACATATGGTAAGCTTGGTCCCTCGATATCAGGCGCGAGAAAAAGACGCAACGCACGATCCAGCGCATCTGGAAAGGACACCACCAAAAGCTAACACCACTCCCAGGATCGACGCAGAGGGCGGCACCCGGTCCAAGTCGAGGGTACGCGACGCCATGCCATCCCATACCACCCCCATTCCCCAAACCCCAAACCCAACTAACACCCCCCACCCACGCACCAGACCCTCCCGGAAAAAGCCACCCCCTACAAACCAGACGAGCTCCCCATCTGGAACTTCGACGGCTCCTCGACCGGCCAAGCGCCCGGCGACAACTCGGACGTGTACCTGCGGCCGGTGGCCGTGTACCCGGACCCACTGCGGCTGGGCGCCAACATCCTGGTGCTGGCCGAGTGCTGGGACGCCGACGGCACCCCCAACAAGTACAACCACCGCCACGAGACGGCCAAGCTCATGGAGGCCCACGCGCAACACGAGCCGTGGTTTGGCCTGGAGCAGGAGTACACCCTGTTGGATATGAATGGGTGGCCGTTTGGTTGGTGCGTATTTGTTTTGTTTGTTTGTTTGTTTGCTTGTTGTTGATGGTGATGGGTGTGGGCGTGGGGCTGCGGATGATGATGCTGGTGGTGGTGGCTAACGGAGTGTGTGGTGCATGGTTAGGCCCCAGAATGGGTTCCCGGCGCCTCAGGGCCCGTACTACTGCGGCGTTGGCGCGGGCAAGGTCGTTCAGCGTGATATCGTCGAGGCGCATTACCGCGCGTGTCTGTATGCTGGGATCAAGGTCTCCGGGACCAATGCTGAGGTTGGTTGCTCAGGCGAACTGTTGATTGGGATGCTTGCTAACTTGCCTAGGTGATGCGTATGTTGATCCGAGCCGTCACTGCGGTTTCTCTGACCTTGGAGAGTACTGACATCCTGTAGCCGCTCAGTGGGAGTTCCAGGTCGGCCCATGTGTCGGCATCGAGAGTAAGCCACAGCCCCTTCCTTGCCCACACACCCTTCTCACAACACCTTCTAACCTTCCCAGTGGGCGACCAACTCTGGCTCGCCCGGTTCCTGCTGCACCGCATCGCCGAGGACTTTGGCGTCAAGGTCTCGCTGCACCCGAAGCCGATCCCCGGGGACTGGAACGGCGCAGGCCTGCACAGCAACTTCTCGACCAGGGAGATGCGCGAGGAGGGCGGCATGAAGCACATCGAGGCGGCCATCGCCAAGCTGGGCACGCGCCACACGGAGCACATCGCCGTCTACGGCGCCGACAACGAGAAGCGCCTCACCGGCCGCCACGAGACGGGCTCCATCGACCAGTTCACGTACGGGGTCGCCAACCGCGGCGCCTCCATCCGCATCCCCCGCGAGTGCGCCGCTAAGGGATGCGGCTACTTTGAGGACCGCCGCCCGGCGTCCAACGCCTGCCCGTATCAGATCACGGGCATCATCATGGAGACGTGAGTGCCTAACTACTTGCTTACCTGCCGATGGTGGTCAGGTGTGTATGGGCTTGACTGACTGTGGATAGGATCTTTGGGCCCGTTTGAGAGTAATAGGTAGATGGGTATGGAGTTACATTGGTATTGGGATTGCTTTGGCCGTGAGCGGCTATTGGGTTTAGAGGAAGTGGAGTGTTTGGTGTTGGTATTGTTGGTATTTCTGGTATGGAGCGGTTGGGAAGGAGAAGGATGTTGGCTGAGGAGCGGAAGGTAGAGCTATTCGTTGGTATCAATGCCAGGAATCATTTGCCCGCCCTGAAGCGGCCTAGACTGTACACGGCATAAATACGGTATTATGTCATGTCTGGAGTGGTTCGTTCGCCGGAGCCAAACTTGCCGTTAAATAGAACTAATAGCCATGGGCTGCTCATAAGGACATATGGTGGATCCGTTCAAGGTCACACACCACTAGGCGTCGTGCGGTGTATCCTCCTTTTAATAGGCGGCTAGGTCATTTACCGGTTTTGTTCCTGCTGCCGGCGGACTTAGTTCTTTAGCTTACCACGATATAACTAGGTCTCCCAGAGCACACCTCCGGCCAAGCCGTTTTATGCTAACACACCGTCAGGAGAGCGATCGTTAGGGTGATGGCAACGAGGTGAAGCCGTCTTTCTCCCTAGCACGAGGTATCACGAAGATGATGACACACCAGCACCCCCCTCCTCTCGTGTGGTATACACCCCCGTCGAAACATCATGATACCCCAACTTACCCACCCTCAACGCCAGCTCACTCCCCCACCACTCCCCCCTCCGCACCCTCTCAACAACCCTCTCAAACGTATACTCCGGCCGCCACCCCAACTCCCGCACCGCCCTCCTCGAATCATACACCCGATCCACCCGCCCCAAAAAACTCCACCCCCTCCCCTCAAACACCTCCCCCACCCCGGGCACCGCCCTCCTCAACACCCCCTCCGCATCCCCGCCATTCAACCCCCGCAACACCTCCTCCCCGCTCCCAAACGTGCGTCGTGCGCGGCGTCGACAATATTAGCCGCCCCTCAAACGCACCCCGTCTCGGGCCGCCCTCTGCCGCCGCGTTCCGCCCCCTTCTGGCATCGCGGCACACGCACGCCGAGATCCACGTCACGCCGATGTCCACCCGCCGGTACGCCAAGCTCCCAGCACCTTGAGGTTGTCGTCCGCCACCGGGTGACGGCCGCGCGCCGGGGTGGAGTCGTCGTCGTCTTCGGGGAAGAAGCGGCTCGGTGCGGAGGATGATGGTGGGGAGAGAGGTTTGGAGGTGCAGGAGGTGGCAGAGGTCTTCGGCGGCGGTTTTGCTGGTGCCGTAGATGTTTTTGGGGGTGGGGGTGGAAGTGGTTTCGGTGATCCAGCTGGCGGGAGCGTTGGGGAGGGGGGTGAGGGCGGTGCCGAAGGTGGAGGTGGTGGAGATGAAGATGAAGGATTGGACGGTGCGTTCTGAGGGGAAGGGCTGGGTTTGGGTTTGGGTTTGGGTTTGGGTTTGGGGGGTGGTGGTGGTGGCGGCTTCGAGGAGGGCGAGGGTGCCAGCGATGTTGGTCTGGATGAAGTCGTTTTTGGTGTGGGAGTCGACGTGTGGTTTGTGCAGGGTGGCGGCGTGGATGACGTGGGCGGGCTGGTGGGTGGTGAAGACGGAGGCGAGGAAGGCCGTGTCGGTGATGGACCCGACGTGCGTGGTCGTTGGACCGGCCTTGATGTCGATGCCGATCGGGGTGTAGCCGAGCTCGGGTAGGGCGAGCATCAAGGCTGTGCCGAGGTGGCCGGCTGAGCCGGTAACGAGGACGGTTGGTTTGGACATGGTGGTGAGTTGGATGGAAAAGAATTGTTGTTAAAGGTTGGAATGGCGTGGTGGATGAAGGTCTCGTTTTATATGCAAGTTGTGAGTCACGCCGACAAGATACATGTAGTGCGTGTGGGGATCTTGGGGTAAACATCACAACCCAGCCGGTGGATAGGAGATTTCGACACTTCTTGGCCTTCCTTTCCTGGTTTCCGATACATAACATAGGCTACTCAAATCTCCCATCAAACGATGCCCTAGTCATAGCCCGGCCATAATAGGACAGCATAACAAGCGCCAGTAACAACCAAAGCGGTTATTGTTAATTTCACCAAACGGTCGCCCCCGCGTGTAGTTCCTCACCATACAAGTCTAGAAGCTCATTTGACCACCCGGTAAGGCCTAGTTGAGATGCCTCTCAGGCCTCATCCTGCGCAATCATGGCCCTAGCAATCGCTCGGCCCTCTTCGCGGTCGTCCTCGTCGTAGATGCTTAGCCCATACGCGGCGAGGAACTTGAATTCGCCGTCCCAGTGGCGCTTGAGCCATTCTTTTTCTTTGGCTGTGTAGGCCGGCGATGGCATCGTTGCGAATATTTGGTCGTCGGCCTTTATGTCGTTGATGGGAAAACGGTGCCGGGTCACACTGGGAGTCTGAGATTGAATTATTAGCAGGTGTACCTGAGCACAGTGAGAATGCCCGGGCCTTGGAAGACCTTGATAATTATCACAAGTGACGTCTACACGGTTAAGGCTTGTGGTGAAGGAGGTAGTGGTTGGCTGACTGGCTGACTCTTGCCACTTGTGTACCGATTTGCGGTGGTTTGTTAAGAGGAGAAAAAGGAGAGCCGATAGCGATGCGGAGGATGGTGGGGGTCGTTACATGCCCGACAATTGGAAGGGAAAGGTTACCGGGTACCTTGCATGTGGTTTAATCCTGTCCGGAGGACAATATTACGCTCAAACTTTCCAAAATTACTAACTACCTTAGTTAACTATGTGAAATTGATAAGAAGTCTGGGTCTACCTTATCGGTAACCGCGGATTGGACAGCTACATCTGCCCCTCTTCCGCTCGCGCACATGCCATCGCACATGCTTTCGCGGTTTCTCGCGGCTCCCACTCCGCGCAACTGTATTTTGGTAGGGGGCTTGTACGAGTTAGAGGCAACCCGATTTGATCCGGAAGTAGTTAGCGTGCGAAGGCCCTATAAGCCCAGTGGCTCCGGGCGAAATAAATTCCATCCATCCAACTGTATTTTGCCACCGCGTTGAATGAATCCTCTTTTGCGCCCACCAACTTCTTTCCTTCCACCCCAACAACAAGCGTTGCACCGGATTCATCGAATTACCAAGCCGTGCATGTGGCTATCCTCTTCGTTGCCATCTTTTTCGTGGTATAGTTCTTCCCGTTATGGCCGGGCTTTACGTTTTCCATGGCGGATGTCGCAGAGGCTGCCCGCAAGCAGTGCCACAGTTGCGGTCTTAAGAAGGCTATCGACCAGTTTTACGCACTTCGCGGGCCTCGCCGGATCGTCGCCGACTGCTTGGATTGCCGTAACCGCAAGAGGAGAGAGGTGCGTTCCTGGTTGCGATTGTCGCTTTCACGTTACTAAGGCTCTTCGATAGGACACCACGTCAACGTCCAGAATTTCGGCTGCAAGTGCGATCGCCCGCGGGCAAAGTTTAGCCCTTGGTCCTGCCCCTCCCCCACGGCAGAACCTCACGCACGGCGTTCTCGCCGAGCGCTATCATGAAGGCGGCCGTGTCGCTACGGATACACTTGAAATGGCTGCTGCTCGCACTGAGGTTTCGGCCATCCAGCGACGCCATCGCTTCGAGCGTCGCCACGGCGAAGGACCCTCCCAGACACCCGATATGAGTGATTTGCTTCGGCAGCAACAGCCTGCCGATAAAGCGAGCACTCTCCCACCCTCTGCCCCGCCACAAGTCCTCCAAGACCCCGGTTCCGACCTCCCACCATCTGCGCAGCCGAGAAAGCCTGAGGGACAAGGTGCCCAGGACGAAGAGATGGAAGCTGTCGATCATAACCAGCGATCTGTTCCACCGCGGCTCCCTCGCATTGGCCATATGCTCCCCCGACGACGGCCACCACCCTCCCCCTCCTCGCCTGCTCGCGGCCGTTCCCGTGGACGCCCGCGTCTTGCACGAAACCCGGTCGGCCGGCCCCGTCGGCAACCCTTTCCTGAAGAACGCACGCCTCGCAAATTCGACAAACCTTCTTCCCGGTTTACAGGTGACGACCAGGAGTCGCCCCTCAATGAAGAAGACCTTGCCATCAAGAGGGAATTCGACGAGGCACTTGCCGCTGAGGAGATGCGATATTGCGTGCGTTGCAAAGAGCGGTGGTTTGACGTGGTGCCAAGGGTAGACGGGGTTTGCAAGCGCTGCCATGATAAGGATGATAAGAAGCGACGGGATGAGCCTTTCTTCTATTCTGCTGAGAATAAGTTGGAGATATTCCATAGAGAAGAAACAGGTGTTTCAACAACAGATGAGATATGACCCTGACATTGGAATTGTTGTCCGAAGGACAGGATATTGTCGCTTCGTCCCCCCTTCTATTCAACCCTAACCCGATTGTCCTCCGGAGAGGGACAGGAAAATTGCCAGGAGCGGGAGAGAGGAAGGAAGCGCCCCGTAGCGGAGCGAAGGGTCGCGCGACTGACGAACGAAGCGACGCCAGA